AAACACACCCCGGGGGGGGGGGGGGGGGGGGGAGGGGCACAGGGCGTAGGGGGTATTTACTCCGTTGTTGCTTTGCCCTGGCATTTGATCATTGACGACGCTTGCATCGCTTGCGAAAGAGAGCGTGGTTCTTGCCCCTAACAGACATAGCGGTGGCGGTGACATTCAAGGAACCACACCTTAAGATAGGGAACGGAAGAACTAAAGTAGCTTATTACTGCTCTGCGGCTGTAATGTCGGGTTTCGGTGCTGCCGACCCCCACAAGCCTACACTCATCTTCATGCTCCATTTTTCTGGTGTTATACATGTTGCTGAGGGACGAAAGAAGGAGGGCCTGGCGACTTTCAGGACGAAGAGAGAAAAGCAACAACTTTCAGGCAGAAGAAAAAACAAGGACCAGAATAATAATATAATAATATCCGAAAGCAAGTAGGGCCAATCAACGACCCTCTCCCCCCCCAAATAGACTCATGCGTCACGCTGCCCGAGGTCCTCCATGCAATTTTACCGATACTACCGCCGTACCGTACCGTCCGGGCGGCAAGGCAAGCTTTCAGGCAAGCTTCTTACTTGTCATTGTGGCCCGTGGCCATCGCGCTCATGGAGCAGAACCCCGCGAAACTCAGGGGAGTCATGGCCGCCTCAGCACCGCCGGCGATCATCACGTCCGCCTTTTTTATTTCATTTTTTTTTTTGCCAGGGTTGCAAGAACGGTCCCGAGAACGTTCCGACAGCACAAGATTCATTCGCCGGAGGTCCAGATGTTGGCGCCCGCCCGAGTCGTTGACAACATGGCAAGACAAAGAACAAAGGGGGTCGTTGGCAACAGCAACGTAATTAGGGTCGTTGAAAACCACAAAAACAGGATCGCGGGCAAACAACAATGAACCGATCGTTGACCAACAACAAAAACAAGGATCGTTGACAACAACCAAATAAGGATCGTTGGTCACAGCTAAAAAAACTATCGTTGGCAACAACCAAAAATAGGATCGTTGACAAACCGCAAAAAAAGGATCGTTCACAAAAACAAAAAGAGGATCGTTGACAACAGCCAAAAAAAGGATCGTTGACAATCACAACACATGACATAGGATCGTCAGCAACAACAAAAAATAGGATCGTCGACAACCACAAAGAGAATCGTTGACAACCACAAACAAATTAGGATCGTTGGCAACCACAAAACAAAGCAATAAATAGTATCGTTGGCAACAACAAACAAGGATCGATGACAAAAACAATATTAGGATCGTTAACAACAACGAAATTAGGATCGTTGACAACAGCAAAATTGGATCGTTGACAACCACAAAAAAAATTAGGATCGTCGACAACAACGAAATTAGGATCGTTGACAACAACGAAATTAGGGTCGTTGGCAACAACGAAATTAGGATCGTTGACAACCACAAATACTATAATCGTTGACTAACGACAAAAAACCGGGTGATCGTTGACTGACAAACAAAAATTAGTATCGTTGACAACAACGAAACAAGACCGCAGATGCGTGCGACAAGGCACACTTACCACACGCAAGCAGGAGGCGCATCTCTCATGTTTTGAGTGTGGTTAGATGGTCATCATTGACCATGCATCAGTGTGGGGGGTGGGGCTCAACACCGTCGCCGCCGCGGGCAGCACGGGAGGAATCCAAACAGGACAGGGTGCAGCTCACCTCTCCCTCCCGGATGGCCTGCATCGCTTCTCCGAGGCAGTGCGTCGCCGACGCGCAGGCGCTGACGATGCCGAAGTTCGGCCCCTTGGCCCCCGTCTCGATCGCGATCACCCCCGCGGCCGTGTTGCCCAGGAGGGCCGGGATCGTGAAAGGTGACACCTGTTGGCGGGGTAGGCGGGGTAGAGTGTCCCCGGTCCGACCCGCCGCGCAACGAAAGGAACAACAGACGAAAAAGAACGAGAGAGGAAAATCAGAGAAGAGAAAAAAGAGAGGCCAAGGGGTGTGTGTGGGGGGGAAAACAGAATAGGACAAGAGAAAACGAGAGAGCGAAAGGAAGAGGTCGTGGGGAAAAAGAAAACAACATTTGATACAGTAGACCAAAAAAGAGAAAGGGCACCCGGACGCATCTCGCTCTGGAGGATTGGAACAACCACGATCCCAGCTCCTGTCAACACACGCTGCTTGCTTACTCCCCTGGAATGTACCAATTTCTTTTACGTTCCAGAATAAATGGGGGGGGGGAGCAGTACGGCCTCACCTTGCCCTTGTTCTCTAGGTTGAGCGTCTGCTTCTCGAACGTGTCCATGCCACCGAACGCAGAGCCCACCTGGAAACCCAGTGTGAGTTTGGAGGCAAACACACACACAGACACATCGAGTTAATGGCCTATTGAAGTATTTTGTGTTTTCAACCGCACTGAGACTGACGTCTTTTCATTGGTCAGCCGGTTAGCGCGGTCGATGCTAATAATCAAAACACACACACACAGCAGGTCGAACCGAAAGAGCATCGTTCAGCCGAATAGCAGAAAGGATTGTTCTGCAACAACAACAACAACAACAACAACAACGTATGGACGAACGATCGAACTAAAGTTCCAAACAATAAATTCGTACTTCGCATATAGCTTGCTTCAAGACAACGAGCAACGAAATATGGCGACACCAACGGTACGCACACCCACCCGCTTTTTTTTTGGGGGCACAAGGATGCGAAGATAAGAAAAGAAACAGCGGAGGCCGCGACGATCATGATTGATGACGACGATCACGAGGACCTCGCCCCGCCTCCTCCCCCCCCCCTACCCCCCGTTGACCGCCCGCCGCGGTCGCTCGCTGCCGGCTCAGCAACGCGTATCAAGACCTCACTTAAAACACGAAGACACTATCCCATCACCCCACAGCACAACATCAAATTGCAAACATACTCGACCCTAACCCAGTACATCACCTCTCAGCTGGACAAAGGACAAGCTCAGAATCACCCCGCCTTCAACAACACATAAATAAGCGTAGCAGTAACTCAACACCAAACAATAAATCAACTCGGCCCTCAAGTCAGAATGATCACCTCGCACACCTGGACAACCACAACCCGAACCACCTCGCGTCTCAACAAAGCACAGCAGCAACGGCGACGACAAGCTCACCATTACCCCGCACCGCTCTCCGCTAGCGGCGACGTCGACGCCGGCGTCCTCGATGGCGAGCTTCGTCGCCGCCACCGCGAAGTGCGTGACCCTGTCGTTGTTCCGCATGCTCTTCCTCGCGGAGAAGTACTTGGACGCGTCGAAGTCCTTCACCTGGCCACGACGAGACGAGACCAAGGAGCAAGCAAACAAACCGCGGATCAAAAGAACAGAACAACGACCCGCGACGACATGATGGAGGTTAAGGGAGACAGCCGAAGAAGCTACAAAAACAAAAAAACCCGCTACAACAACATGACATCGTTTCGCAGCAATCACTCCTTTGGTGAAAATGGTGTTGTCATGGGGCAAAAAGGTGTTTTTCGTAAGCGTGGCTCGGGGTATGAAAATATTCTACCGAAACGAAAAGCGTCTAACTGCGAAGCGCCTTCCTTTTCGTCTTGGTATATTTTTTCGATTCTGACGTTCCTTTCCTCCAGACGGCCTTCATCCCCGCCTCTGCTACAGCTCTTGCTGCAGCAGTATCGTCGCTCCATAGTCACATCGGGAATTCAATTCAGCAGACCCACGGCGGTCATGACCTCTATATCCATCGTTAAAAAATCGGGCTCCGAAAATCGATCAAGGGTGTGTGGAACCCGCGAACAGGCGAAGATGCAGCCCTCTCCTAAGCCACCGAACGTGCTCGTGCATATTCTCGTCGACCCGTTCAACGACGCTGGTGTAGGTTTGCGCTTTGCAGAAAAGACGACCCGGTTCACACATAAGATTGCTGCTGCTGTAGGACAGTACAGCGATGGTAGCAGCGACTGAAAGGGGCGTTTGCAACGACTGAGCCTAAAAAAATATTAACCAACGACCGAAAACAGCCAGAAAACAACCCGAAACACCGCGCAAGCAAACTCAAACCCGTCCGTGCAGGCGCCTCTGGGCCTCACGCGGTAAAGCAAAAACGACAACGGCAACACACGCATAAGGGTCCACCCGCAAAACACCCCCCTCCCACGCTTACCTCGGACCCGATCTGACACTTGAACCGCTCAGGATCGAAGCCTTCGACCCTGTTAATCGAGCTCTCGCCCTTGAGCAGACCCTCCCAAAACGCGTCCACGCCGGTCCCCACCCCCGATACCACCCCCAGGCCCGTCACCACCACCGTATCCGTGCCGCCTGCCGACATGCCAAGGCCGCCGCCTCGCCGTCCATCCTGCCTTACCGTCGGCGCTGCTGCTGCCGTTGGTCCTGCTGCTGTTGCGCCGCGCTGCTGCTTTTTTATGTATTTTTTTTGGGGGGGGAAGACGGCGAGACAGATTGATTGGAAGAACGACGGGGGGGATATCAGAAATCTGCCTGATAGACCTTTTGGAGGAGAAGGGCGGTTGTCGCGTGTGGGTGCGATGGGTACTATGTAGGGGGATGAAATGTTGTTCAGCAGAAGTAGTCGCGTGCTTCTACTACAGTACGCCGTACATATGCATATGCAAAAACGTTGTACCTTCTAGTACCATTTTTACGTACAGCGTTGTGCAGCAATTCACGTCTCCAATGTTCTTCAACTAACTGATTCCGTATGGCTCATGGAACTATTGATGCCACTGCTGCTGTTGCCTGTGGTGTTGGAACCACGCACACGTGTCGACGGGCAATGAACAGAGCTCTCCAAAACGCATTTTGGCCTAAAAACAGACTTGTGGGCAGCACTCAGCAAAGAAGAGGCATGCACACATACACCTGTGCTTAGAATCAGGTGCGCCCTTTTTCGCATGCGCTTTGCGGCGAAATCAAGCGTGTTCTGGGGAGACGGTCGTGGGAGAACATTCTCTCCCGGGATTCGATGGCACTCATCGCCACGGACACTACAACCGTCTCTGATTGTTCTTCGGCACTCACCCATCATCACACACACGACTGCTGTACCACCCAGCCGCCTCTTGCCCAATGCCTACACGGAGGTGCCTCGCTCGCTCTTTCGTGAGCCAACATTTCTAAACAGAAGCTGCAGCAGCAAGAATGAATTTTCTTTCGGCTCGTTGGGATTAACCCCGGGCTGTTCTTTTTCCGGCAAATTGTTGGGGCGCCCGACGGGGCGTTCGCACACAAACCCACGGACAACCTTCCACTGTGGCTGCATTCTCGTGTGTGTTCCATTTGGTGTCCGTGTTGGTGTTTGCAAGCGGGTTGCTCACATAAAACGATGTATTTCTTCCACCGACACCCATCGTGTGGGTCAAGCTGAGTTGTGTTACACAGCAGGTGCACCAGAGCAGAAAAGAGACAACGCCGTCGGGGGGAGAGACTTTTCGTCCCGGGGCATTTTCTTACCTAAAAAAATCGCACCTCTACCTTTGCGTTAATCCCGGGGTGTTTGTTCAAAGAAAAAAGGAAATACCCCCCCCGCGGCGCTAACTCAAAGGACATTACGGCAGTACTGTAGTCGGGATACCCCGGCCACACGTGCAGGAACACCATGCACGGTCTGTACGTTTCTGTGGATTGATTGCTGGAGATGCCCTATTATATGCACAGCTCCTTCGTTAGCGGCCATCATCCTCCGTTTTCATTGGTGTGTATGTATGCATACAAAGCTGCTGCAAAGGTTTCGCGGTGTCGTAAGCAAAGCCGACATGGGTAGCGTACGACTGATGTCGGGTCATCGTACACACCCTCACACAGGCCTGCAACAACGCGATTGCGCCGCAACAGCACGTACAGCACAAGTATGAAGTATGAAGTATGAAGCAGGGGGTTGTGCGAATCGGACGAACGTCCACCGTATTTAGAAGCAAGCTCGCGGCGAGACAGCAGCAGTTTGCCCAATCCACCATTTGCGGAAAGGGCGGCTTGCTGGATGTGGTGGAGTAATTGAGCTATGAAAGTTAGTCTTCCAGGGGTGCGATCACCCGCAATCTTACGGTCAACCAACACAGCAAGGCGCATGTTTACAAGACCGCCGTTTGCCAACGATGTTACTGCTGTAGTTTACCAGTTTGGGAGCTGAGCCGTTGCTCCCGCAGTTTTTTCGACGAACGCTTTCTGTTTTTTCTTTCTCTCTGCAAACGAAACCACCGATCCCTTTATTGAAAACGACGCCGAGTTTCAAGAACGTTGTGTCATGCCCACCGCATGAAGGAGACGGACGAATACATATGCCTTCCCCCGCTCTCAGTCCAACCCTCACCGGTCATGCCTAACAGATGGATCACACACCAAGATCTGGGATCCAAAAATGCAAGAATCAGAAGCTGAAAATATACTCTTGGGTCTCATCACAACAGCAGCAGGAGTTGTGGCGGGCGCACACGGACACACGCCAGGCTGCAGCCGCCAACTTTTTCTCCTTGGCAGCGAGGACGCATGCCCTTTCGCTGGAAGCGACTCCACCCGCAACGACCCACGGAGTAAGAGACGAGAGCGAGCCTCGTCCATGGTGATCAGGGTGCACTAGACCGAGGGGATTGACAACACATGCGCCCTCTCCTTTTTTCTGCAACCAAACAGTCGAAACGCATGTTGTAACTCTGCGCCCGTTGCTTGAGCTACTAGAAAGACACCGGGCTCAGCGCTAGGGGTAAAAGAACATCGTCTTGCTTACCCAGGAGTGCCTCCATGCACGCTCACTCCTGGTGCTGCTGCTGCTGCCACCCAGGCCCGTCGTCGGACCCGGCACGAAGGCCGTCACGGCGACCAAGGAGGTGAAGAAGATCAGGCAGGGCGTCGCCATTGCGTCGCCTCTGTCCGTTCAGCGCCCCGTTCCTCTCTCCTCTCCTCTCCAGATTCCACGAGTGGCGAGTGCCTGTGGTGTGCACCTGGGTGGCGAGAGGGCTGCTGGGCAGGTCTGTACGTGCTGCACAGCAGTTGTGTGTGCGGCGTGGGCCTGAGATACACGGAGCCTCAATATTTGCCGTATGAGGGATCACTAAGCTACGGTCTGCGGCGCCCCGCGTCTGAACAACCAACAACCGCTGACCGAACAACCAACAACAGGTTGGCTTGTCGCACAGAGACACAGACACAGAGAACCCGGAGACGGAGGGAGGGAGAACATACTGCGCGCCCACGTTGTCAAAGACTGAGCGTGTTTTTTCCCCATTCTGAAGGAAGGAGCTGAAAAGGACGCATTGCCGGTGGAGAGCGTGTCGGAATCTCTGCTGCCTGCCTGCTGTCTTTTTGTTCCGCCCAGCAGGCGAAGACCTTCACGCTGAACGATGGTGAGTGTCCCAGCTCCACCCTAGCTGCAATGCTCGCATCACCTGCTGCTGTAGGATTCTATGTACGCCCCGTACGTGCTGGCGGGCATTCTCAATCGAAACACCTTTTGTCGTCAGCACTGAAGTCACATCTGCTATACATACAACAAAGATGCATACGCGGGGAGAATAGGGAGGGTGTGTGGCCTGTTTGTTGTTGGTGCCGTGTCGGCGCGATATAACAACCCTCCGACCACATGGCAATGCCAATGCCAACAGCAGCAGCGTACCTTCGTTTTAACGGATGCAATCGAACCGATGATCGTCATTCGAGAAGAAGCAGGCAGACTTGGGAATCCCAACCCGTTACCGGGGGCAACGTGTGCAAAGCTGTATTGCGTGTTGTAACATACAGCAGTAGTGCGTCTACTCGACCGTATCTGTAGACCATGTACTACTGCTGTACTGCTGTAGGGTCATTAGAGCGACCGATAGACTCGGTAGAGCGCCGTGGGTGTCCCTGGACGGAGATAGAACCGCGGTCATGAAAGCAGGGGAAGCAAATGACACAATTCCCGACCTCGGTTGCGTTTTGTGTGAAGGAACCTCCTGTGGTATCTTGCGTTGGACGTACTGCAACGAACGCATCATCCAACCACCAATCTACAGCAGTAGCAGCACACAGGGACCAGTAGTGGCAAACGTGCGCTACAGCACGACAGCAGTAATTGATCGCTCTCTTTGTAGATAAGGGCAAGAGGCCTTTTGGCAATAGACAACGGCTTGGTCAGAAGCGCATCAGTGTAGCTAGGAGTTGCTAGGATCCTAGAGTGCGCAGGTTTGGCTGCATTTCAGTACCGCCACATACGCGCCCAAAGGTTTCAGTACCAAGAGCTGCGAAGGCACACACCGCTTTTTGCCTCGGTCGACGGAACCTCGCCTGTTTGACGAAGCTCTCTGCAGGCGCGCCTTCCATACCGAATGCTCTTCAACTGTGGCCCGTGTACAGCCGGTTGTTGTTGTTTGCCATCAAGCCACAAAATACCTCCCCACGACAAACGACAACACAAGACGACTCTCACTGCCCCCAACGTCGTCGTTGTCGCGCCTGCTGTCTCTTGCGTCCTTGACTTCTCAATTCTCACTCCTGCTCGGTCAACTCAGATTAACTTCTTGCTTCTCATCAGCCGACAAGGCAAGACCCGCCTGACCAAGTGGTATCAGACCTACTCGGCTAAGGTGAGAAAGGGAAGAGACAGCCAGCGGGACGGGGGTAGGGACGGAGGGAGGCAGAGACGGAGGGAAGCATTTGAACAAGAAATTCATGCAGCAGCGACCACGGCCAGCGGCGTTGCTGGTTGGCACGCGTTGTAGTTTTCGAGAGGTACCACAGGGTTTTGAGATATAGGGCAAAAAGGGAAGCCATCTCCTCTGGGAGCAGCGGAGATAGGTCGCTTCGAACCATCGGTGGCATGGTATCGAAACAACACCTATGCATATACGCCAGTGCCGCGGCAAACCAGCACACCCGACAAGAGTGAATGTTCACATTGCTCGCACATCATGACTTGCTCAAGAAGTTGTCGACACGAAGCATCTTGCTAGTTTAGATTGGAGTCCAAGAACGTTGTTGCTCTTGTCTCTTCATTTTTTTTGCTCCTCTAGCGGCAGAGATTAAACGTGGGGCACCCGCCCGCAGGGGTCAAGAGCGGAGGTCCTGTGTGTATCCCCGGTTCCACCGGCGTGGCTGAAGGAAAACCAACACTGGAGGCTGTCGGAAAGAGTAGATGGGATGAGCAAATGCCACGCAAGCCTTGGTGTCTTTCACCGATACAACCGTGAGGGAGGAACCGAGTAGAGCCTGGGATGCCTTCTCCCATACGATCACAAAGCAATAGTACGATAGAACCACGATGACATACCTGGTATTCTATGCATACAACAAGCACAATTGTCACAACGAAAATGATGGAAACGACGACGACGACGATGACGGCGGCGGCTGTTACCACCGCAGGAGAAAGCACGCACGGTGCGGGAGATCACGTCGACGGTGCTGGCGCGCGCCCTCAAGATGTGCAACTTCGTGGAGTGGAGGGATAAGAAGATTGTCTACAAGAGGTAAAGAAAAGACGATGCAAGACGAGTTCGCATGGCAGACGTAGGTGTACAGACCATACAGAGTTTAAATGTAGATGCTGGTGTAAAAATGTAGTTGCGCAGATTGGATATATAGATGTTACTGATGTTTTGAGTCAAACGAGTGCTGTGTTCATCGTAAGGCAAACGTACGGCGAGGAATGGAACACCAACGATGAGTCGATCAAGTGGTACCGACACATGGCAGAGAGTGAGGAAGACAATGCAGGATTGAAGTGTGACTACCGCCTGGCTCTCCGCGCCAACACGAGGCCGCCTGTTGTTGGCGGCGGCATCGCGCGTTTTGGAGTGCGCGATCGTATTGCCGTGCTGCCATCCTCTACCTTTCTTTGCGTAGCTGATCATCGGTGGATGACAAGGACGGCCTATTCCTCGTGGGTGGTGCGCCCTAACTACCCTATCCCCATCCCTCGATAGCGTTTTCCTCCGCGCGACGGCAGTGTTTGTGCCGCCGCAACCTCTCGTTGCGCTCATGTGACTAACTGACTTGGCTCATGAAACCTACTCCTGTACACGGCCGTATGTACAGCTCTCAGCGCCGCCATTCCTTGCACCGCTCTCCGTCCCGCCCCACACATGCTGCTCTTGCTTCCTCGTCTCCTCGCGCGCATGTGTTTCGGGCGCTACTATACTACTGCTGCTGCTGCTGCTGCTGCTGCTGGTGCGCATGATTTGGGGACACGCACACACAACACACCGGGTATTCAAACCACCTTCAACGCCAACCACATGCGGTGGTGGTGGGCGATCGAAACAATATTAGGTATGCGTCCCTGTTTTTCGTAGCGTGCATAGACCAGGACGACAACGAGCTCATCACCCTCGAGAAGATCCACCTGTTCGTGGAGGTGCTAGACCGTTACTTCGGGAATGTCTGCGAGCTAGACATCATCTTCAACTTCCACAAGGCGTACTACATCTTAGACGAGCTCTTCATCGGGGGGGAACTGCAGGTAGGCTTGGTGGTTGGTTGGTGTTGTTGGGTCTCTTTTTTGTTAAACGAAAGTTGAAACGTGTACCTCGCTCTTTATGCCTTGGGTCGAAACATATATATTTTTGTGCGGCGGCGGGGGGGCTGGGGCCCAATGCACGCAGGAAACGGAACCGCCGCTTCGCGATTGTAGTGTACTGCATGCTTGTCACCGAAATACACATGTGCTAATTTGACGTTGTTGTTGCAAACATTGTTTTTCCTTGTCAGCCGCGACCAAGACTACAACAGACTACGCCAATTGCTGACAATAGTTTCCACCAGTAGCAGTCCCGCGTTCGTATTGACCCCATGCACTCGCTTTGGCCACTTTTGGTAGGCCGGACTCTCACGTATACCTTCAACCAATCAAGCTAAATCGTTACCCCCCCCACACACCCTCCGAGAAACGAGTGGCCATCAGTGATCGGTCCTGTAGGAACAATGCTCCGTCCTCTCGAGGACGTGCAGCGAGTGGTCTAACCGCTAAGGCGTGCAAAACATGAGCACAAACACACACCCTCCCCCCTACCCCTGTTCCTCGACCCCCCAGGAAAGTTCGAAGAAGGAGGTGTTGCGAGTATGCTCTCAGATGGACGACCTGATGGAGGAGGCCAAGGAGGAAGCGGCGAATGGAAACCAGGGGCCATCCCGCCGCCGGTGACCGCGACACACGCCGCCATTCCGTTGGCGATTGGTCGCGCTCCCTCCGGCCGACTCCCCTCCGCAGGGCTGTTGAATGCTTCATGCTGCTGTGCCGCCTTTGAATGCTTGCACATCTTTTTTTGTGTTTCGTGTGCAACGTCTACGGAAAGTTGTACAGACAATGTCGCCAACAGATTGGGATTACAAAAGAGTAGAAGAAGATTTGGTTTACGTGTTTATTCGGAGTTTGTATCTTTCTTTGTCGTGTTCATCGTTGCCTATTTAGCTCCTCCCACCCCTTCCTTTTTGGGCGTTGGCGTCGTAGTTAGGTAATATGGTACGTATCTTCCTCGCCGCCCCCGTCCATCTATCAGTTCGTTCGTTCGCGGCTTCTGTTTGTTGCGCCGACGGGAAGAAAGTAGGTCCTTTTTTGATGCGCTACGCCGTGTTCCAGCACTTTAGGCCTCAACGACGGGAAAAGAGCTGGGTAACGACCGCGCCAAGAAGAAATATGCCGATTATGGCAAAGATGCGCCCGCGTGTGACATGTGGGCGATCGGCAACGAACGAAGCTTGCGGCCTCATGGAGGCCTTGCATCCATAAGCATGGCTTACCCGGCATCTCATGGAGACCAAGAGATGCGTGTGTGATTTATCTTCTTGGAAATCCTTCTACCGACCTACGTACATAACTCGTCAGACTGCCCAACAGACCCCCGCTGAAAAGAGAAGAACCACATGCGGCGAATACATGATGTCACACCCATACCACACACCGCCTAATATGTATCCGCCTGCAGACCACTAGTCTACACCGTCCGCTGTGCAGTACTGACGCAACAGAGAGGCAAACACTAATGGTACACTTTGTACGTTTCCGGTGAAAGTTGTAACTGCTGATAAAACTTGTGCCAACCAGGACTCCGACACCGCGGCGTATCGTTAGAGGCGGACAAGCACCAGGAGACCGAACGAAAAAATACGAGAAGCCAGCGGCACACCTAGGCGCAGGGAGGAGGGAGGAGAGAGAGGGGCAATGGGTATGACCCAGCCGTCGCTACTAAACTAATTAACCCTCGTCGCCAAGCGTTGTTCCCCGCGCGCGCTCCTTGACGCCCCTCTAAGTTGTTCGACACACAACAAGCGCGGCCAAGCCTCCTCCGTTTTTTGGGATCGAAGTCAACGACTCGTGCCCTCTCCGCCCTCCATGCCCTCCTCGCTGCCTTCGTCTCCCCCTTCCTCGCCCAGCCCTACCAAATCCTCCACGAGCAACATGTCGTCTAGGGACGGCGACGGCGGGGAAGCAGCATCGGCGAGCGGTTCGGAACGGGTCTCCCCGACGCTCGACCCACCCCCCCGCTCCTCCTCCTCCTCCTCCTCCTGGCCTCCCTCTGCTTCGAACAAAGACGCCTCCTGACCCCTTCGCCCTTTCCCGCCCTCGCCGCCGCCATCTTCCTCTAGCTCCCGCGCTCGCCAGTCCTCGCCTCGCACGCCGGGACGGTCAGCCTCGAGACTCCCCGTCTCCTCCTCCTCCTCCTCCCCTTCTTCCTCCTCGCACAGCGCATACACGAGATCCTCTTCGGCTTCCTCGCGACCTTGATCCCGTCGCTGCCGGCGTCCCGCACCTTGCCCCCTCCTTCGTGCTGCCGCTTCCTCCTCCCCTTCCCCACTCGCCCACCCCAACGACTCCGAACGTCGGTAGGCGTCGAGGTCGTCCTCTGAACCGCTACCGTCGTCGCCCAGCAGCAACGCCGCGTGGATGCCGATTTCTTGCTCCTCCTCCTCCCCCTCCTCCATCCTCCTCCTCCTCCTGATCATCTTCTCTCTCTTGTCTGTGGCTGGGAGCGGCATTGCCGACCATGCCGATGTTGCTTCCTTCACCGGCATCACCATCGGAAGGGCCGTCGGGGGCATCGCACCACATCTTGCTGAGGTAGGCCTCGACTTGCGCCGCGACCTCCTCTCTGCCGTCATCGACGCCGATACCGTCAATACCTGAGTGAAAGCGTGACGGTACCGGACGCGGCACATGACACGATAGAGAAAGCGGGGGGGGGGGGGGGGGGGGGGGGGGCCTGTTTGGGCACG